CATCAGTACCAAGTATCTTTCAAATTCAAATCATTCTCTCTTAACATTCTCTTTGTTTTTAAATTCTCTTTACATTGTTCATACTTGTTTTCTCTTTACTTGAATTCTTTGTTAAATTTCTTATTTCAAGACAAGACTTGTTTACCAAACTTGACTGGACTCTTAATATTAGTAGTAGAAATTGAGATTAAGTTAATTCAAGGTTTGAGTTTTCAAACCTTGTCCGTGCACTTACTCTTGCACTCTCACAAAGTGGTGGCAAAGTGTATGGATGAAGGATTCAAGCATAGATATAAAAAGATTACATAATTTCTGGACCTTTGTGAGTAAATAGCATTAGTTTCATAGATCTTGTTAATTTTCATATTTTTCACTTTAGTGAATAAAGTTTAGATCTTGAATGTTTATGACCTTGTTATGGATAAAGTTGGAAACATTACAACATCATATTGATTCAGATCTGAAGGTTAGAGACTTGAACTTAATGGATTAAGTTGAGAAAGATGCATTTTGAGTCCCCTTTGAGACTTAAAGAATAGATCTTGGTTGTTTGGACGTAAGTTGAGTTAAGATGTCTTAATGGATAAATAAGTTAGGAACCATAAAAATGTGAAGCTATTAGAAACCATAAAAATGTGATTCTTGGTCCTTCTAACCCTTCCATGCAAGAGTTCAGATGTCTTAATGGATAAATAAGTTAGGGTTTTAGCTTTTGGACCTTTTCTAGACACGGAAAGTCATAAATATGGAAACTTTATGACTTAATTCGATGTTTTTAGTCTAGATCTAAGCTCTAGACAAAAGGCCTTAAAGGATAAAGTGCTTAATAGGAATATTGGAATAAGCTCGTGTATGCGGGGCGTACCTAGGAGTACGCTTAGTGTACTAGGTTGTGATCATGTACGTTGGGCGTAAGTTGAGTATGTTGGGTATACTCAACTGCCATGGACTTTGACTTTTGTTGACTTCCTTTAACCGTTGACTTTTTGACCAGTTTGACTTTTGGTCAAACTTGAGTAGAATTGAACATTTCGCTAAGGAATTGTTTCGGTTTGGCTTTAGGAAGCTTGGGTTGGGATGTTTTGTTGTTGAGGTAGCTGTTGGGCTTCTATTGAATAGTTCAGGTGATTCTCCTCATTGTGCATGTGGGTCGAAGGCACCAATTTCGACCGACTGAAGTATGTTGTAGGGTAGTAGAGGTCTTTGTGACACTTACTGATATGTTTGTATGTGCTTGTTGTCTTTGTAACTCACGCATATATGTATGTATGCTTATGTATGTGGGTTGATACGGACCCGGAGGTTGATACAGACATGACACAACTAATTGTGTTTTCATATTGGGTTAATACAGACCTGACACATCTATTTACTGTCATATGGGGTTAATACGGACCTGACACAACTATTTGTTGTCATATGGGGTTGATACTAGGGATGAGCATAGGCGGGTACCCGCCTTATTTGGTGAGAACCGGATCCAGTCTAGGCAGCTCTTAAATTTTTGGAACCAGTCCCGGAACCGGCGGTTCTGGTTCGAATAGCGGGTAACCCGGTTACGACAACTTTGTTAACTTTTTTCGATAAAACTACAATTTAGTTCGGTCCAAATCAAATCAATTCGGACCAAAGACGAACAAAATCGGACCAATATATTCTAAATCGGTCTAAATAACACACACATATTCATATGAAATATTAATACACACACACACACACACACACACACACACACACATATATATATATATATATATATATATATATATAGATATATATATATATATATATATATATATATATATATATATATATATATATATATATATATATATATATATATAGGGGACAGATCAAGTAAAAACAGTAAATAATGTGAGAACGTAAAACACTATTTTTATGTTATTATTCTGCAATGAATGTTGTATCCACATGTTTATGTTATTATCAGCAATGAATAAATGAATAGTCATAGGTTAAAATTAAAATTAAAATTTACTACAAAATGCATATACATAAATATATAATAGAATAATAACATTTCAATGAATATATGAATAATCAAACGTTAATATTCATATTAGAATTACTTCAACAATATACATATACAACATTCATTACAGAATAATAACATAAACATAGTGTTTTTACGTTCTCACATTATTTACTGTTTTTATTTGAACTTACTTCTCTCTCTCTCTCTCTCTCTCTATATATATATATATATATATATATATATAATATATATATATATATATATATATATATATATATATATATTATATATATATATTATACCGATTCCGACAAGTACCCAGCGGGTAGCGGTTTTGAAAAAATGAGAACCGAAACCGGAACCACTTAAGGCGGTTCCATAACTTTAGGAACCGGAACCGGAACCGCTTGAGGCGGTTCTAGTTCAAGAACCGGCAGTTCCGAGGCTGTTCCGGTTCCAAAAGCGGGTACCCAGTTCCAATGCTCATCCCTAGTTGATACATACTCAACACAACTATTTGTTGTCATATAGTGTTGGTACGGACTTTATACAGTCACGTGTTGGTATATGTGTATATGTTGTATGTGGTACTTTGAGGAACTCACTAAGCTTTATGCTTACAGTTTATGGTTATGGTTTTAGGTACTTCGTTTTCAAAAGAAAGGGTGCGACTTGATTGCACTGCATCCCTAGGAGTTTTATTTCGCACTGAATATTTACAAATTACGCTGATGTTTTGGGAATACTTTGACTCTGATCGTCTTTTGGACCGATGAATGAATGACTTTAACTTATTTAAAAATGAAATTTTTACTTGATATTTTTGTAACGCCCGTCTTTCTAGGCTAAACATTAGTGTGATGATGTAACAGTTAGGGTAAACAATTGTAACCTATTTTGAAATAATAAAGAGGAATCACTTGAATATTATGTGAATTATGTGATTTTATGTGCATTATACTTATTTATTAAAATATAATAAGTTAAGAATAAAAATAAGCATCAAAAATAAAAATATGGATATACCATTGTAGTGGTCGTGACAAGGATTCCAGAGATATAAAGAACTCCGAAATCCGAGTTATAACGAAAAAGTTATGACCTGTCGAAGTTTCGCCACAAAACCAACACGACGCTGTGTAACGTAAAAAGTGAGTTTACGATAAAGTATTTTTTTAGCCTTAACGATCTAAACGAAAGTCGTAGTATACGTTAAACCGAGAGCGTGCATAAACAGAACACCCAAATCTGACTTCGTATGAGGAAGTTATGATTTTTCCAAGATTTGACATAGCACTATGCAGCCCAGAGTTCGAATATTAGATCGACCGATTTTTAGCCGACACAACCTAAACGAGAATCGAAGATCTCGTTAATAGGAGCTCAACGATAAAAAGACAGACGAAAACTGACGCATGATGACAAAGTTATGAATTTTTAACGGACTTTTCCTGTCCTGACCTGTTAAAATATAACTTTAAAAATAAAGTCAAAATTAGATGACGGAGTCTGAACGAAAGTTGTAGAGTACGTCTCCACCTATGCGTGGATATAAAGAACGTTAAAAACGGAGCTCGTATGCGAAAGTTACGGATTTTAGAAGACGAAAGTGTGAAATGCGAAACTGCTTAAGGAACGCCTTGCGTAGGAAGCCGGAGCGCCCCGCGTACTCGCAACCCTTGGCCAGCCATGTCGCCCCAGCAGTCTTCGGACACCTGTCCCCTCGAACGCGCTGCGTATGCCGGAACGCCCTGCGCACTCGGAACGCGTTGCGTTCCTCCGAAGGAGCGCCCTGTGTAACCGAAGCCAGACCCCTATAAAAGGAGGTGCGAGGATAGCCTTCATTCTTCATTCCTCACCCTTTCTTCCTCTCTATAACCTCTCTCTAAACACCCACCCAATAATCAAAGCTATATGCTTCACTTTTAACCCACAAACAAGATAGAAACAGACGAATCACCAGACAATACTTCTCACATTATCTTCCGACCACTCACCAAGGAAAATAGCATCGTCCACAAAAAAGAAATAAGATTCTTCGTTCTCGCTTTAATACCTCAAAACAGCTCATTAGAGACGGCCACCTTGGTGGTTGCATGCAACCCTTGTATAACAAGAATGAAAAGGAAAAAGGATGGGAATCACCCTATCAAAAACCCTGTTTGAGTTGAAATGCTAAAACTGAAACCCCGTTAATAAAAATAGAAGCCCTAGACACTTCCAAGGTTTCGAAGTTATCTTATCTACATATTTCATGTTTGCACCACCAAGATTATTAAATATGCATGTAACATCTTTTTCACTTCATGGTTGAAGCCTATAAAATTCAAACATGATCGGATCTATTTTGAATGGTTCCACAACATATGGTCACCCACTAGGCTAGCTTGAAGTTGTTACACCCTATTATCAGTACTAGCGCATCAGTGACAAAAATTTGGGCATCTAATCAGAGATTGTCAAAACCTATAATCTCAATTTACGGATGTAACAGCCATCATGATGAGTTAGGTAAAAGATTACCACTTCCTGACGAATCTAATTAGTCGGATAAACTGCCAGCTAAGCCCTCTAGCCCTATTGATGTTGGAATTCTTTTTTACGTGTTTGTTTTGTTAGAAGGTAATCAAGGTATGTTGGTTAAAGGCATGATTATCCTGAGATACAGAACAATTAGAGAGTTCAACTATTTAGGTGTTAATCTGTATGGATATCGTTTTCTCGATTAGATAGTACGTTTGTAAACACGTTTCGTGATTAGTTTAGGTATTCAATTGGCAAATTCAATTTAATCGATAATTTTTTATAAGAATCTCAACACCATTAATTTCTACAATCGATAATTTTTCTTTTTCTTTTTTCTGTTTTGGTGTTGGGTGTTCAACAAAAACCCCATTAATTTCTTCAACTATTAAAAGTTTCTACATCACAATCTTCTAAAAGAAACTCATATTTTGCCATGAACAGACAACTTTACATGTGCAAGAAAACACATCGACACCATTTACATGTATGAAGCTCCATGGCCAAGCATTTGTTCTCTTCTCCATCCACATTTCATTCTTTTTCTGAATAGCCAACCATCAAAAGTTCTGTTTCATTGCCATAATCAACTCCGTTTTATTCTATACACACTTGGCTTCTTGTATACCAATGCCCGATTGATGAAATTTTGGCAATGGGTTTACGTCAGCTTTTGCTCTCTTTGAACTTCTTGAATCATCATCCGAAGTTAAAACTTCATGAGAAAAAACTGGCTCTTTGTATTCAACGTTAAAATCAAAACCAAAAGAGTCTGAATGATTGAAACTTCGCTCCATTTCCCAGAACATGCTTTGTAGTTCCCCAAAACTGTAACTTTTCTCCTGTCAAACCCAACAATTTCAGCATGTCAGATTCAAATTCGATGGTAATACAAGTCAAATTTGGATTTCTTGAAATCAAAGACTAGTTGTTCACCTCTTTCTTTACGTTTTCCATTAAAGATGACATCTCTTGCAGAAAATCAGCAAAACCCTAATTAGTTATTAAAAAAAAACATGATAATTGAGTTAGTAATTGATAATTGCCGATTAATTAGCGAAACTTTGATGAAAGAATGAGAAATTGGGAGATGAATGTTAAGAACAAATGTAAACAGAATACAATCATGAACAGAGGAAATTACCTCGTCTTCTTCATCTTGAGGATCATAAAATCCAGCATCGTACATTGATCTCTTCTTCTGATTTGATAAAACTGTTTTATTTCCAAAAATTAGAAGAAAGGAATATTAATCAAAGTATGTGTCAGTTTGAGAAAAAAATTTGTATTCGTAATATAACAAACCGATTATTACCTGAATAAGCTTCCTGAATTTGTTGAAATTTACGTTTAGCTTTCCCCAAAAGCGACGGATTCTTCGTCCACTTGTCAGGATGCCATTGCTACACCCAATCAAATCCAGTTTCATCGTCAGAATCTGTTAGTATTAAAATCATATATTATCAGATGAAGCAAGAACGAGAAGAATACCATTACCATAGCAAGCTTCCGATAAGCACGTCGGATCTGGTCGTCGGAGGAATCCATAGAAACGCCAAGAACATCATAATACGATGGAGATCTTTGATTCGACTCCATCTCCTTCAAATTTCCTCAAATTCTAATCAACCGCAACAACAAATTAACAAACTTATTAAACTCCTTCTCCACCAAAATTCGTCTCCCTTTCTACTTTTCAGTAATGCAGGTTGAAAATACGTGAGGCGGTTAAAGCGGCGGACGAGGGTTGCTTATATAGAAAACCATTAATCGGAAAGTCGGTTTGATGAGGTGGGTCCATTCATAGTTCGATAAATATCAATCAGCATCCCAAAAATATCTACTCTGAGATGTCGTGATAGGTGTGTAGAATGTTCGTTTAACTTGAGAAAAATATCTTGGGTGTTCCAAACAGGAGCAGAAGTTTCCAGACTTCTTCAGGCTTCTTCCGTTCACAACTTTTATACCTACGTCGTTTTCACTTATATTTCGAATATTTCAATTCTAAACGACACAAATGCTACAATAATACAATGCACAAGTCATCAAATTGTAATTTTACAATTTTTATTTTTTATTATATTAGTGAAAATTTTCAAGTTAAATTATAGTTAATAGCGATTTTACGTGGTTTCTATAATATGTTTTTAACCTAATGCAAATTTTATAGAAGGTCAACTTTTTATCTGCTTTTGCCAAAGGTAGGTGGGTATATGTGCAGCACCACCGCATCTTGCAGTGAGTGCCACATGGCATGCAGTGGGTGACACCGGCGGTGTTTTTTGTGCGGTGAAGACCACCGCGAGATACAAAATGCACACGAAATAGTTTTCCATTCACATAGTATTTGCATTAGAGTTAACAAAGCAACAGGTACAAGCTAGTACTGCATATATATATATATATATATATATATATATATATATATATATATATATATATATATATATATATATATATATATATATATATATACTCTTCATGATTCAAGAAGTCTGAGCCTCTCATGCCATGTGACTCTTTTCTCTAGACATAACGTGTCTTATTCTCTCCCATGTAAAACGTTGCTCACCATATATATATATATATAATATATATATATATATATATATATATATATATATATATATATATATATATATATATATTTTGTACAAGCCTCAATATTTCCAAATTCCAAGTCAAGCAATATGTATTTTTCCTAAAGCCCAGAGGAGTGGGCGGCAAAAACACTTATATTTGTTTGTCAAACAAACACTACCGCTTCAAAGCTTCAAAGATGGCATGGTTTAATATCAAATTCAAATGACATGTTAGCGTATGAGAAAGAAAAAGGAGAGAGAGAATGTGCATGCGAGTATATGTATTTTTTTTTATTTATTTATCAATTTGACCAACTCTTTAAAAATGTCATGTCATTTATATTGTAGTGTAAAAATGACATGACAAGCATTTTAGACTAAGGGGAATCATCACGTGTGAATTGTGAATGAAGAGGAGGCCATGTAGGTATTTTACCATTCCACAACCAATCCACTAAATTGTGAAAATGATGTTTACCGGTGGGTTGGTAGTGAAGGGGCAAAAAGAAGAGAGTGACCAATGTTGTTGCTTGCTTCTTATTGGTTGTCTTTCTCCGTCTTCATAGAGACTCCACAGCCACGCCATCAGAAATTAGGGCGATGTTCACGCGTCCCTTGGAAGGTTCCTGTAGCAACAACATTTTTCATAGCAACATGAAAACCTTCCATAACAATGATAAACAAGAAAGGAGAAATAGGATCCCCTTGCATCAAGCCTTTAAATAATTGGAATTCATCCAAATAGTCCCAACTAACATTATCATAAGCTTTCTCAAAGTCGACTTTAAAAATGAGAAACTTTTTTTTTCTTTTTAAACCACGAAATGAGTTCATTCACCATTAAAGGACCGTCTAAAACTTGTCGACCCTTAAGGAAAGCCGATTTCTCCACACCAATAACCTTGGGGAGAACAGAAGCCAAGCGTTTTACTAACAACATAACAATAATTTTGAATTGCATCCCAATGAGGCTAATAGGCCGAAAATCCTTCACCAATAAGGGATTGTCAAGTTTCGGGATGAAAGTAATAAAAGAAAGTTGCACCCTATAGGAATAATAGGTTTATAAAAGAACTTTTGCACAAAATCGATGACATCAACACCTAAAACATCCAAGAAGTGTTTAAGAAAACAGAAAAAGAAACCATCCGCACCAGGAGCACAATCCCCGCCACAATCCCAAACGGCTTCCTTAATTTCTTCGGCTGTAAAAGGCTTTTCTAATAACGAAGCAGCCTCAAACCCAAGAGTAGCAAACCAATTACTCCTATTAGACATTCGAATGTTGTTGAAACATTTGAACGTAGAAGAATAATAATCAAAGAATTCTTTTTTAACAGCCATCAGATCCACAACCCAGTCTCCATCAACCGAGATCCCACAAATCAACATTTGCCACCTTTTTTTCTTCAACATGCGATGAAAAAACCCAAAGTTCTCATCCCCTTCAACCGACCATTGCACTTTAGCCTTTTGAGCCATATCAACTGCATCAAGCTTATCTATGTTACCAATCTTTACCAAGAATAGACTTCCTTTCATTAATCAAATCCAAAAAAGAATCACTATCATCAATAGAACAATCAAGTTCTGCCAATCGAGATTCCAGTTGGACTTTCTTCGCTTCACGAACCTCCTTAACTCGAGAATACTAGTCACGAATTTTTTTCTTTAAAAATTTTAGTTTATTTTTAAACAAAACAAACTTGCTCCAATTTTGTTGAACAACAAACTCACTAACACTTCCATGAACCATGTCATCAAAACCATCCATAGCCAGCCAAGAATTATAAAGTTTAAAAGGAGTAGGACCATAATCAACCTTATAGTCATGAAGTTCCTTTCTAAAACTGCCACCTGCAAGCTCTAAAAGGTATCAAAAATCGACTCTAAAACCAAGAACCGGTCTAACTTACTAAGTTTGACAGCATTATAGTCAATCCTAGTAAATTTCATCCCAATCATTGGAAATTCCACCACACCTATGTCATCGATAAACTCATTGAAGTTTTCTGCAGACGTATTACAGAAAGTTGAACCAAATCTCTCATCTTCACTTCTAACAACATTAAAATCACCGAAAATAATATAATTACCCATTTGTCGATAAATGAACATAGAAATATAATTCCACAACTATTGCTTCTCTCTAATATCTTAGGGCACATAAACATTCACCATAAAGCACTCCAAATTGAACGGAACCCACAACCCACCAACAATTTTAAGATTATTGGTACAAACAACATTGTTTTTAATAAAAATATTCGGGTCCCAAATAGAAACAAGCCTACCCGATCTCCCACGAGCACTACTAAAAGGAAAATAGAAATTATTATTCACCCACATACTCCTAATTTTAAATAAATCCAACTGCGTCATCCTTTTTTCTTGAAGACCCAGAAAATACACCCCATGTTGTACACAAATAGACCGAATCCAATTTCTTTTAGCACACAAATGAGGGATACAAATATTCAGAGAAAGGCAATTCATTGATCAACTTGAATTACACCAATACTAGCCAGGATTTGTCTAACCTTTTCTTTATTACCATTCATGTCATAACTAAGTAAACCCCCCATTTTGACATATTGCATCATGATGTCATCAATATCTTCCACGGTATCTGGAACCCTTTTTTTCAAGAGTTTTGAAGAACCATGAGAACTTGAAGATGTTTCCTTAAACGAATTAAAATTCGGAAATGACTTATCATCACGTCGAAATCTAAGCGGTTGAGATAGCGATTCAGACTCAACATTAACAGGAGCTAGAGCCGGAACCTAATCAACATGTGTCTCGACTACTGTAGCTGTAGAAAATAGCGTTTGTTGAGCTGCACCAGTAGTCCTCGGTGATGTGACAACAACCTCTTCCGGATAGTTAGCAGCAACATCAACTAAAGAGGATATATCATGCTTCGAATTGGCAGGAAAAGAATGTTGAAACCTCGCTTGAACAAAAGAATTCTGACCATTTGTTTGAAAAAAAAATGACCCCTTCTATCCACAAATCATGGAGGAATTCATCAACATTATCTTGCTTATTTCCAACAAGAGTGCACTCACCATCATTAACATCACATTCAAGTTCCTCAATATACGAATCACCTGAGCGATTAGGCATTTTACGGTCCAATATATCATCATTACACACAATATCCGATTCCCAATTAGATAATTCTCTAATAGCAAGCTCGTATGAAATCCCTTGGACCACCACACTAATCTTCTCATGAATTAGAGAAGGTTTAAGAGTTTTAATAAGGACTCTTTTAACTGCCAATGGTGCTTGAACATCGTCTTCCAAAAAGCATACATCACCTCCAACGACCCGCCACTTTAGACACAACTACATTATTCCAATCACAACAATGTAACCCAAGGATTCAATCCAAATTACCCTTTACAATACTTTAAAACCATTTACCACTGGGCGAAATGTATAAAAATAAGCTCAAAGCAGCAACCTTCTTAAATTTCAAGCAAACTAACTCTGAATCAAACGCCACATATACCTAGTCACCTCCCAAATATCTAAGTTGTATCTCATTGTTAAATATGAGTCGATCATTTTGAGCATTCTCATGGAGCATTTGGATCACTTAGATCTCAATGGAGCACTTAAGGTTCATGGAGCAAGTGAAAAAGGAAGAGATAATATGAAATGTTGATCCAAGCGAAGATGGTGAGCCATAAAGATGTTGTTGCTCCATCAAGAAGGGAAGTTACGCCATGGAGGAGATGTTGCGCCATCATGGACCATCTTGGTACATGATGCGCCATCTTGATTCCTTTATTGTGCCATGATGATCCACGTATGCATAGAAGATGATGTTACTTAAGAAATACACCATGTTGTGCCACCATGATGGATGTTGGACCATTAGTGTTTATGATGCACCACATATGCATCATGATGCTCCAATATGGTAAAGGTGGTCCATCATGTGTGTTTCTGATGCTCATGGGTTGTATGACATGGAAGAATGTTCTAGAAGATGTTGCATGGCGGAATATGATTGGTTGTCACATTTCATGGGCCAATGGGCTTGGCCTATTAGGGTTTTAGGTCTGATCCCTCAATTATAAATAGGGATGCCTTCTTAGTCATTTGATGTGTCTTGTCTT